AAATAAGATCCATTTCCTTCAAGTTTTAATAATATTTTAATTTGTGCAGCTTTAATGTTTTAGCATTTTAATTAGGTATTAATCGTTTCATAATTTGTAAACCACCCAGAGTCACCTTAGAAGGAATATGGGGAGAATATAATTTTTTTAAAAAAATATTAATAAAATAAAACTGCTTTAAATGAAAGACATACATCTAATGTAGCCTTTCATTTACCCTTTCTTCAGAGTGTTATTTTTGATCTCATTGTGTTTTATAGGGAAACACAATGATCATGATTTTTCATGCTAATCTTTGATGCTACCAAAAATTCTCGAAAAAGTCCTTAGAGGTTGGAGGAGAAATACTAGGATTGTTGGATTTGTGACTGAGAGACTATTCTTCAAATCAAAGTATCTTTTTCAATCAAAGTAATTATCTGTTGGTCTTCCTAAAGGTGCTTTTTCAGGAGACAACTGGACTTTCTTGTTTTTTTTCTTTGAAGATGTTTTGCTTATCATCAAAGAAGTTTCTTCTGCTCTGATAGGACAGTGGAAAATGGAAGGATTTATATTCCTTGCAGACAGCTGGTCATTTACATCATTTTAGAGGGTCCTTGAAGCACTTGGAGATTTATCGGTGTCCTCAGAGACATTTGAGTAGTGTTCCTGTTCCCTGTAGTCTGCAAATGTTTCTCAGGAAATCCATTCCTACTCCCACCCCATTCCAAGGGTCTTCATCCCAAATTGCATAGCTAAATGTCCGTAGAGATTCTCAGTCATCCAGGTCATCAGTTGATCTAATCACACTATCTTCTGATTGAGTACGAAGAGGAATCGTTGTGAAAGAATTTAACTATTTACTAAAGCCATTATTTTCCACGCTCCATCTATAGAACTTGTACAGGAAGTATTGGGTATTCCCACACAGAATGTATGAATGTATGTATGTATTTCATTCCATTGTTCATTTCCTCTCTCCCTCTCTCCCTCCCTCCCTCCCTCCCTCCCTCCATCTCTCTTTCTACAAATGTTATGAAAACCATAGAGCACAAATACATACAAGAGCTGTAGCAAAATAATACAATCACACAACTAATAAGCACAAAAAACAGGCCTGAATTCTCTTCATTCTCTGCTGTTTCTTTATTTCACATATAATTGAAGAATGAACATGAAATAAATGCTATTTTTTTCTTTATCAACTGGACATTTTCAGCCCAATCAACAAGTATAAGCTTCCTATATAATTCATAATACTTTTTCATCATGTTAGATTGAAGATATCTCAGACTTTGAACTGTTACATTAATTTCTTCAGGGCCATTTTCATGTTCTTATTTTTCAAACTGTAAATGATGGGATTTAACATGGAAGTTAAAATGCTATACTGGTAGCATTACTTTATCCAATTCTGATAATGAACTAGAAGTAGGTTTCATATGCCTAAAAAATACTGACATGTAAAACAAGTCAACCACAAAAAGGTGTGAATTGCAAGTGAAAAAAACTTTACTTCTGCCTGTCATGGCTGGCATTTTGAGGATGACAGAGATGATCTGAATATATGAAACCAAGGTGAGTGCTGAAGCACTCATGATAAATATTGGCAGGGAAACCAAGAGCACAGCTTGGTTCATCAAGATATCAGAACATGATGAAATAAAAAATGGAGGCAGTTCACACCTGAAGTTGTTCACAATTTTGGGCCCACAAAAATGCAGAGTTAATATGAGAAGAGTATCAATAAGTGCATGGAAAAAGCCAATCACCCTACCATCAAGTTACACATTAATTTGTTCAGAATCTCTAAGCAATGTTGGAAAAGGCAAACAGGTGCATATTGGTCATAAGCCATAGTAGATAAGATTAAAATTTATGTGCATTCCAACATGATGATGAAAAATACACCCATTGCACCCATTGATGGAGATAGTCCTCTGGTCAGCAAGAAAACTCTGCAACATCTTTGGGGCTGAGATTGAAGAATAGCAGATTTCCACCAAAGATGTGAGAAAAGAAGAAATACATGGGGATGTTAGGATGAGAGTGTAGTCCAGTAATGAGAATGATAACAAGATTTTCTAACCAGGATTGTTTCACATGTTAGCTTAAAAGAAAGGAGAGGCACAGGTGTAAACAGAAAGTAACACATATCCTTATAGGCATGTGTTCACTATGAAGGTTTTATACACTTAAATAAGTAGAATACTGTAATTTAAATACAATCATTTAGGAAATACATTATTTGGTATTACTGGAATATTTTTGGATACACACACAACTCCAGCAGGTACACACACACACGCGCGCGCGCGCACACACACACACACACACACACACACCATTCAGGTTATCTGAGCTATATCCATCCCAGTTATTCTCTATGAAAAACAACAATAATAATACAATTGTAGTTGTAGAGCTATCCAGATTCAAAATATAAAAGATTATTCTTAAAGTTCATGGATCTATATGACACTTCGATCATTTGTTCTTAAGTCAAATGTATTTTTACTTGGGTATGGGTCTTTCTAACTACAAAGAGCCTGAACAGGCAAATTCTTTAAGAAACGGCTGACAAATGAAACCTGTATACCCAGTCATATTCCAAATCACTCTTTTGCTATCATATCTGGATCACTGTCCAGTGCTAATCTGAACTTCCATCTTGTATGTCTTATTTAACAAGACAGAAAAGTTGACCCTGAAAACAAATGTCGGGCTACAAGAATGATATGAAAAAAGTCATGTTATTGGATATTCAAAATAAATTGCTTGATGCTTTAAAAAATCAAAAGAGAATTAAAAATAATAAAGCAATCAGAGTAACCTAGATAATTCTTTTATATTGAATTTACAAAAATAGTGTCAGGTTTTCAAAAGATGCTCTAATTAATTTATAAGCCTCTAGCCAAGTTTCAAAAGAAATCAAGTAAAATGAAGGAATATAAAATTGGTTTATTTGATCAAGATTAAAAAAGATGTTGTTATTTTTGGCAATGCTTAATGGATTTTTAACCCCAGTTTTGAATTAATAATTTTAAGGACTTTTTATAGTAAGAGTTGGGAAATGGGACGAAGGGACCATTGATTAGAAATTAAAAAGAGTAAAGTTACTGAAATTATTTATATTTGTTCTGATGAAGTTTGGAATACTTCTTTATACATGTATTTTCTTTTTTACTCTTTTTTATTTTTTCTTATTATTATTCCTTTCCTTTTTTCCCTGTGCATGTTTTTTTTTTCTTTTCTATTCCTTTTTCTTTCTTTTTCTTTTGTACATTGTATTCATTTTTAAAATTATAAGCTTAAATTGCATTAGTGTTTTATAAAAATGCAATAAATATGGAAATCCACAAAACTAGATTTGATCAGTTAGATGGTCAATCCTCCTAGGTAAACCAGGTAGGAAATAAAAATAGATTAGCTAATTATACTTTGTATTAAGGCTAAAGTAGCAGAATCCTACAAGTCTAATAGTAAAACCTTCCCATTGACACTTTTAACTGTTTGATCCATTAGGGCAAATTTTTCCTCAGTTTCTTTCTCTGACTATTAAGTCAGGAGGGGGCTCCTTCCTCTTTTATCTGATTGTGTCCTTGGCAGCATCTCTTCGCCTTGTTGTCTGAGATCATCCACAAATTCCATTACATCAGAATATTAAACTCCTCAGAAGTTCCTAAAGGAAACAGATTGTGGGTAATGAGAATGAAATGTAGAAGTATAGTTCCCATCTTCTCTTGACAACTCCCTGTGAGCACACAAGAAATCTCTTAACCTTTGCTCTTTTGGGAATTTACTGATCTGATATGTCTTGTATGTGTGATGTGAAAGGAGATGATTCATTTTCCCCAACTTGGTATACTCAACGCTCTCTTCATCCCAGAGAAGAGCTCCTCCTGCTTGTGTTAGTCATATTTTATTCCTGAAACACAGGTAGCTTCCTATGATGGAGTTTGTTGGGATATTACTAGAGATATAGGTATATTATTAATGTGATAATTATTGGCAAGAAGTTTGAAATGGGAGTATTTTCTCTTCTGGAATAATTGTTTCATGGGTAATAGAAATAGAAATATTGTCTTTATAGAAAACAGGTAATATTATGCTCAGAATACTTTCTGCCTGGGCATTTTTACAAAATACTTTTCATGCATTTGTTTCAATTAACTAAAAACTCATCTAAATGAGCTTTAACTTTGGGGTGTTTGCTCTCTTCATACTTAAAAGTTTATACTTATTTAAAAGTAAGTGCATTTTTTTCTGCCTCCTTTCCTGCCACTTCTCTCTATCTTCAGGAATCTTCACAATGACAAGCAGGTTTCTGAAATAGTAACCAATTCTTAAACCACATGAATGTTCCTCTTTATTTAAAATAGATTGTTCAATTGGGAAATACCCATCTCTCAAATACTAATAGGGTATCTGTGTATGGCAACTTTCATGCATTCTGGTTTTAAACTATCCCTTTGATATAAAGTGTTAAATTTTGTAGAGAGTTCTAGGCCATGTTCTAATTCAGCACACTCACTACAGTTTGAACATTTCGGAGATAATACTAAGTAGTGAGAGCTAAAATAATAGATGGTTCTTTTAATTTTAGGAACTCTAGTGAGCTTTCAGAAAAATATCCAGGTTTTTCAGCAACATGACTCGGTAATTGTCCCAATAATAGAATAAATCAGGAGGATTTTCATTTTCTTGCTTGAGTTAAAGCTTAACATTAACTTTTGTCCATGAGACAAAATTTTCTGTGATTTGGGGTTTTTTTTTATTTGTAAAAGGAGCCAAACAGTTCATCAGTAAATGTAAGTGAATGTAATTGTGAGATGCAAGTGATTTGTCATTACTTGCTTCCTAGGTCTGCGACCCTAGCCTAATGTCACCCAGCTATCTTTGTGCAAAAGACTAGAATTCCTCACCTCCTAGTTTCTAGATGGTGCCTTTAACCAGTATATCACACTGGTTACATACATTTACTTGTATGTTATTCTTATTTTACAGATGAATAAGCAGAAATGGAGAACCAAACTGACTTTATTTTGCTTGGACTTTCCAGTGATCCTCAACTACAGATTTTCTTTTTCTTGATCTTTTCAATCATTTTTCTAATCACAGTGTCAGGAAACCTCACAATCATTCTGATAATCAAAATAGATCCTTCTCTCTGTGTACCCATGTACTATTTTTTATCTCATTTGTCCTTTGTTGATATGTGTTACTCAACTAATATTGTTCCTAAAATGTTAATGAATTTTCTTATGAAGCAAAAGACTATTTCCTTCACTTTCTGCATTTTACAAATGTTTTGCACCCTTCTATTAGGCGTCACAGAGATTTTCCTACTGTCAGCAATGGCATATGATAGATATGCCGCAGTGTGTCACCCACTTCATTACATAATGATCATGAATAAAGCAATATGCACTTACTTAGTTTTAGGAGCATGGCTAATAGGCTTGCTATCTGCAACAATAAACACAGTGCCTATTTTGAAGTTACACTTCTGTGGAAACCATGAAATTAATCACTTCAGCTGTGAGCTTCCTCCATTATTGAAAGCATCCTGTTCTGATATTTTTCTAAGTAATGTGATCCTTTTGTCTTTTGCTGCAATCTGTGGACTTGGTTCCTTCTTACCAACATTGGTCTCTTATGTTCATATAATCTCCACCATCATGAAGATCCATTCTGCAGAAGGTAGAAGTAAAGCTTTCTCGACATGCAGTTCTCATCTTATTGTAGTAGGTTTACAATATGTGACAGGAATGTCCCAGTACATGAAACCCAGCAATGTTTCCTCTGTTACACTGGATGAGATTATCTCTGTTCAATATAACATTTTGACCCCAATGCTCAATCCAATTATCTATAGTCTAAAAAATAAGGAAGTGAAGAGAGCACTTAAAAGACTGATCAATCCAATAAATATTTGATCTAATTTATGCTCATTAGTTATATATGGATACTTTAAAGATGAGTCTCTGTTTACCTGTTATTTTTGTGTTTTACAGCTTATAAACTACATTAACATTTGGAAAGTTTCAATTTATATCCAGGAGACATAAGTGTACAATACAGATGGTTATAATTTATAACTCTTTTTAGAACTTCCTATGTCCATTTTATTTAGCCTACCTGATTCTTTTGCAAATTTGTTCTCCAAACTGAACTTAAGTTGGTAAAGTCAAGAGGAGTGGTTTAAGCCATGGTTTAATGCTTATGAATGCAAAAATACATGCACCAATATAATGTTGCAGAATTGATCAGATTGGAACCATGGTTTAATGTTGTTTCACAGTTATAATTGTCCTTGTTTGTAAAATTTTACTTGTTTGCTATTTCAATTTGAAGTATGTATCAATATTTATCAATATGTGTCAATATTTCTTTTTTTTTTACAATATTGTTTTTGATGACAACATTAATACATTCATTGTCATGGATTTATATATATTCCTCCTTTTGACCAACTATTTTTCTGAACATAAGTATCATTTATTAGCTGGTATTTGAAAAGGAGACCAAAAATGTCCATGGCTGGGAAAATGCATGAAGGAGAAAAGAGAGATTCTGAAATCTAGGAAAATGTTGCTATGTTATGATGTCTTTGTTAGGAAAAGTAGAAGTGCTTGTTGACTAAATTAGTGGCAAATATAGAATTGTTTAGAAGGAAGGAAGTGTTATGACACTTAAAATAATGGATAGCATAACAGTTGATAAACTCAGGTTTCATCTTTCAAACATTTACATCATGACTGTTGTCAGAAAAGTTTATTTCAAGTATGCCATGACTTTTCTTTGGGTGAGATATACTACAAACATGCAATAAACTCCTCCTCCTCCTCCTCCTCCTCCTCCTCCTC